GACCATAGTGTCAGATAGATATTCCAGATTTGTTTCAGCTTTCCGGACTAGTCTACACAGAAACTTGGGTACCAAATTAGCATTTAGTACAGCATACCATCCTCAGACAGATGGCCAGACTGAGAGAACAAATCAGATACTTGAGGATATGTTGAGAGCATGTTGTATGAATTATATAATGGCTTGGCATGAGATGTTACCGTTGGTGGAGTTTGCCTATAATAACAGTTATCAGTCTACAATTAAGATGGCTCCTTATGAGGCTTTGTATGGTAGACGATGTAGATCTCCTTTGCATTGGGATGAGGTAGGAGAGAAAGATGAGTTACATACAGCTCTTGGGCCAAAGATAACCCAGAAAATGATAGAAGATATTCAGTTGATCCGACGTAGAATGAAGCAAGCTCAAGATAGACAAAAGAGCTATGCCGATTTAAAGAGAAAAAATGTGGAATTTGCAGTAGGTGATAAAGTATTTATTAAAGTTTCCCCCTATAAACGGGTCATACGTTTTGGCGGTAAAGGAAAGTTAGCACTTAGATACATTGGTCCCTTTGAAGTGTTGGAACGAGTTGGAAAGGTAGCTTATAAGTTGACGTTATCACCTAATATGGATAGGGAGCACAATGTATTCCATGTTTCAATGCTCAGAAGATATGTCACTGATCTCTCCTATATATTAAAAGTGGAAGAAGTGGACTTAGAAGAGAATCTCGTTTATGAGGAACAACCAGTACAGATCTTAGACAAAAAGATTAAAGAGCTCTGAAACAAAAGTATTCCACTCGTAAAAGTCCTATGGAGAAATCATAAAGTAGAAGAAAGCAACATGGGAGGTAGAGCAAGATATGCGGAACTGCCATCCCGAGTTGTTTGTTTGAATTTCGGGGATGAAATTCTTATAAGGGGGGAGAGTTGTAACTCCCACATCGAGATACGTAGCTTTACTTATGCCCTTATACCCTTAGTTGAATTTTGTTAAAGTTATTTTGAAAAAAAATGTGAAGAAAATCCCTTAAATTTCATTAGGGGAAAAATGGTCTTTTCACTCAAAATTAGTTGAAAATGTGGGGAGTGAAAAGAGATAGAATTTCATGGAGAATGCAATAAAATGAGGGCATTATGGTAATTGATTAAGGGACATAGATGAAATTTCATAGAAAGTGCAAGGGCAAAATGGGATACTATAAATAATGTTATGTTATATCAAGAATTGAAGAGTGAAACCCTAGCCACTTCTTCTCCTCTTTCACGCCACTTACCACCCAAATTCTCTCAATTTCTTCAATTCTTTTTCCAGGGAAATTTATAGATTTTGGGTAATTTTTAGTGGATTTTCAATCCCAAGCATCCTTAGGTAAGATCATTGCACTAAGAAGTGAGTTTTAATTTTTAAAGTGTTGAATTTTGATGATTTGTGTTCATAGGATTTAAGAGAAAGAGAGTTGGATCAAAGAAGATTATTAAAGTGTTGGATTGCTCACATCTAAGGTAAGTAAATCCTACCCTAAGTATGATTTAAGTAATATAGTATAGAGAATTTCTTTTATACATATATGTGTTCTTATATGAAGAATTGTTGATGGATTTGGTGTTGAATGAAGATTAGAACTTATCCATGAGTAGTAGCGTTTGTGTATTTGATATTTGATGTGAGTTTGGATGAAATTTGGAAGAATTGGAGTAGAAATTTTGGAGTGTATATTTTGGGCAGGTTTGGCGTTAAAGATAGAAGATTTTATACCAAATTTTTGGTGGCTTAGAAAAGAGGTAGAAGTGTTGCCAAATTAGAGTTGATTTATGCACATGAATTGTTTGATGAAATGTCAAAGAGAAGTGCATATACGAGTATGATTAAGTGTTACCTTGGGATGAGTCTGTAGATGGTATAGAATGACATGTTTGCATTCCATATTGCATTATTGCATCTAAACATGTGAATTTAGAAAGAATTATAAGCATGAAAACATCTACATGCATACATACTCATAAGAGCATAAAAAAGCACTAAAGAATGTTAAAGAGTAAATAAAAAGAAATGAGAATATTAAAGAAGTTCAAATCTGAATTTCTATTTAAAGAAGTGTAAAAAGATAAAAAAGAAGAAAATGTTGTTGCGATGGGGAGCCTGTGAGTGACATAGCCCCACATGCACGCCGCCTTTAGTGAGCGGCCTCAGAATTCAGAAAGAAGAATTGTACAGTCCGTTAGAAGTGCGTGTGGATGATGATTGTACCCAGAATTAGAGAATTCACTCACATGGCCAGGGTTCCAAATACATGCCTCAACCGAGTCCGATCAGCAAGAAAGAAAGAAAGAATAGAAAGAAAGAATAGAATAGAAAGAAAGAATAGAATAGAAAGAAAAGAAAGAATAGAAAAGAAAAGAAAGAATAGAAAGAAAGAATAGAAAGGAAGAAAGACTAGAAAAGAAAGAAAGAAGGAAATACAGAAAAGAAACAGAAAACAGAATAAGAAAAATAGAAAAGAAAATGTAAATTTTTATGCATTTGTGCATTTGCATCATATATATGCATAATACCATGCCCATTATCTTGAGTAGTGGGAAATTAGATTAGAGAAAGAACAAAGAGAAACAGAGAAAAAAATAGAGAAAGAATAGAGAAAGAACAGAGTAAGAGTAGAGAAAGAATATAGAAGAATGAGGAAGTGTGGAGTAAGGAAAGAAATTCAGAATTTAAGCAACGGAAAGAGAAGTGTAGCATAGCGGATTTACTTACTGAGCAATTAGTGTTCACCCCGTTGTTTTCAATGTTTTTGCAGGTAATAGGTGAGATGCGGTCATTTGGAACATCACGCAGAGGAAGGGTTGGGCAAAACTGTCGAGTTATTATTTTGAGATTTTATTATATTATGTAAAGATTTGTATATAAAGAAAAATTAAATATGGGCCCATAATGTTATACTCGTTTATATGTATATTTTCTTATATATATTTTTAGTGCGTTTTACTGTTATTTTACAAGTATATTAGTTAGAAAGAAAGTATTACAAAAATAAATTCAGAAGCAATTAAAAACTTAAAATTTTTATTGTGCTTGTAGATATATTTCATTGCAAAACTTTTTTCTCCATTAAATATCTTTTAGTTTTAAAATTTTATTTCAATTATATCATAGTATAATATTTGAATAAGTATATTCATGATATAGAAGATAAGTGTTAATAATATTTGTAAAGAATAAGGAAATAAAGATAAGTTTGCAAATTGAATAATAAAATTATAATTATAATTTCATTATTTAAAATTGAGATTTCTTTTTAATCTAATAAATTAATGTGAATGGAACCACTATCGTTTTTATCCGCTCAATTTTGTTAGAGTTAGCTTGGGATTGCTTTAACTTTAAGTTTAATAAGCTTTTCCCTCAACTTTGAAAATAATCAGTTTTAAAAATAATTTAAAGTGTGTTTGGAAAAATCATCATTTTAAAGTTGCTTTTGATTTCTAAAACTTTAATTTACAAATTGTTTTTTATGTGTGTAATGACTTAAAGGGACATATTTTACTTTTTGAAATATTTTTATAATCATAAAATATATTTTAACATGTATTTAATAAATATTATAATAATTTATATTAGTTAAATTTTATTTAATCAAATATGTAAAAGAAAAAATTTTGAAAAGCAAAAAGGGCTGCCTGCTGGTTTTCGCCAATTAGTTGCCGGTCAAAACTGTTTTGTTTTTTTTAATTTTATCAAAATTATAAAAATAATTTAATCAATTAAATATTTCTTTAAGTTATTCTGTAATTAAACGAATTATATATATAAAGTTATTTATATTTATATTTATATCACAAAATCAGCTTATAGATTTATTTTATGTTAAAAGCTATAAAATGTAGTTTTTTAAATTCTTATAAAAGTTAGATTATTTAATAATCACCTTCAAAATTGATCAATTTTAAAAGTTATTTATCAAATATTTTATATTTGTAGCTTAAAATTTAATTTATTATTTATTAGGTTCCAAAAACAGACTCTTTTGACATGACAAGAATCAGATCTGTTCATCTAATGCTTAAAAAATAATTATAACTTTCAGAATTATAATAGTTAGTGATAGGGTGAAATAAAAATTTAATCAATCGAAGTTACTTCCCATATTAACATAACTTTCCAAATTTACCCATGATTTCCCGAAGCAGAAATAAATATAGGACCCACAAGGCTTTGGATTATGATGATGATGATCGCACCCCGCCTATTAAAGTGACTAGAAATTCAATATTATCCAAATTCATTAAAAAAAAAAAAACAGGTCCAAAGTAATGTTAGTAATACTAATCCACCTACTCCCACATAGCTGAATAGGCCTGAATTTAACGGCTGAGATTCATAGAATATTCTTTGATTAGATAAACACGAAATTGATCTTGCCACGTGGTGGGTTCAGTCTTAATCCGAGGGACTAAACCTTAGCACGTAATATTAGAATAACATTTATAATCAAGGAGCGATTAGGTGGCTAGATAAGAACCACAATTCAAATCCCCCTCCGGATCAAATACTTAATACTTATCCTACTATTCGTAGGAGACGCGTCCATCTCCTAAACGCCAGGTCATATCATAGCTAGATCGAATGCTTGAGAAAAAGCACCCTTCAGCTTCTTTCCTATTTTCAATTTCAATTATATTTTGATTATTTAGAATTCAAAATAAATAATTAAAGAAAATATCTGTTGGAAAGAACCTTTGCATAGGATTGTATGTATTAAGGTTAAGGATAAGAGCAAAGAGGTGCCAAACTATTGGATATCCGTAATGGATATACCAGCTCATTTTCAAAGATGGTGCAACGAACCAAGCACTAAAGTCAATTCCATGGAGTCTGAATTGAAACTGTCTGCGTGTTGCGAGAGCCTGACGATACTTATACGAGGAATTAATAAAAGTCAAGAGGGTAGCCAATGAGAAGCATGCAGCGCACAAAACGACAACACAACCTCAAAGATAAAAGCCTCATTCCTCACCTTGCAAACATTTCAAACACTTTCATTTCTTTTATCCCCTCCATAGCTACTCCTTGTAGTGATCCATATTTGTCTATTGGTTTGTTTAATTTGAAAATGGAAGTGAAAGCCAACTCTGATCTTCCACCTGGGTTTAGATTCCACCCAACTGATGAGGAACTTATCATGTATTACCTTTGTAACCAAGCCAAGTCAAGGCCATGCCCTGTCTCAATAATCCCAGAAGTCGATATTTATAAGTTTGATCCCTGGGAATTGCCTGGTCAGTTGGTTTTCTAATTAATTGGCTTTCTTAATTTGTTATGCATGTATTAGACCTTGTTAATGATAATGTTTGTTTGTGGGAACTTTGCAGAGAAAGCTGAATTTGGAGAAAAAGAATGGTACTTCTTTACTCCCCGTGACAGAAAGTATCCTAATGGGGTGCGCCCCAACAGGGCAACTGTTTCCGGTTATTGGAAAGCCACCGGAACTGACAAGGCAATCTATAGTGGGTCTAAATATGTTGGGGTCAAAAAAGCTCTTGTTTTCTACAAGGGTAGACCACCTAAAGGAGTTAAGACAGATTGGATTATGCATGAGTATCGCTTAAGTGATTCCCGAAAACAACCCAACAAGCAAAATGGATCCATGAGAGTAAGTACTGGTCTTGATTTATTTATTTAATTTGTCATCATGATCATGTGACCAAATTGGCTTGCCTTTTTTGTATTTCAGTTGGATGATTGGGTCCTTTGTAGGATCTATAAGAAAAGGCATTCAGCAAAAACTTTGGATCAAAAAGTTGAAGAATCATGTTTGCAAAGGGTCAAATTAGGATCCAATACTGATGCTATTGAACAACAACAAATGATGAAATTTCCAAGGACATGTTCACTTACACATCTAAGGGAATTGGAGTACTTTGGTCCAATTTCACAACTTCTCAGTGATAACACCTACAATTTAAGCTATGATTTCCAAAACGCCTCGGAACATGTTGAGAAACTGCATCTAGGTGAAATCCCTTACGAGTACACAGATTCTGGGAAGTTCCAAGTGAACCCAGGTGGCAATTTGAACCAGACAGTATTTGTGAATCCAATGGCGTATGAATTCAAGTAATAAGTGTGTTTTAAGGACAAATAGATTTGTTAAGACATCTAACAATTGTAAAAATTGTTTGTGAAATACATCACTTTACAAAATTATATCAGTAATTTGATTCAGAAACAACATTTACTTTTAACAGATGTTGAGCTTGAGCTTATATCTTTTGCATCACAAATTATTATAGATTGATTTAGCCAGAGTGGCTCCATATTATTATATTTATCTCTACCTCTATAGCAATCAGATCACAACTTTTTTCATAAAAAGATATTTGCTGATAAGTATTGGATAAATTTTGAAATTATTAAAAGAAGGTTGCTTGTGACACTTAAACAAATTATCGATTGGGTCAAAAGAGTGTGTGAAAGCAATGCGGGCGATATTTGGTGGAGTTTTGTGACGCATGGGCTAACTTGTCGTGGCGCTTGAATCTTGATGGCGATATTTTGGATTATTCAAATTTCAGATTCTTCTCCTGTCACAATTGCACAAGTTATCTGGAATCCTATTTGAATAAGTTTTTGAGTCACTAGTTGAATCTTTGAACTGAGTCAGTGTTTCCAATTGTAGCAATTTTATCGCAAAATATCTATTCTTTGAACATTAGGTGAGAAACGCAAAGGAGATGACACATACAAAGATTGTTAACAAGTATTAGCTGATTCATGAGCATCAACACTTAACCTACATTTTATCCACTTCCTCATTTGCCATGCTTATTATAAGAAACAACACCCCTCCAAGCCATTTCAATCAACAATGGAAGAAAAAAGGAATGTTTCATTGGTTTCATCTTCCCCAGATGGATACAATGTGGGAATTTTTATGATAAGTTGCATGGTTTTGTCATGGATATTCATCCACCGCTGGAGCCAAAGGAACCATAAGGGCCCAAAAACATGGCCACTTGTAGGAGCTGCAATAGAACAGCTAATGAACTATGATCGAATGCATGATTGGCTAGTCAATTACCTGTCTCAATTGAGAACCGTTGTGGTACCAATGCCATTTACAACTTATACCTACATTGCTCATCCTGCTAATGTAGAACATGTCCTTAAGACAAATTTTGCCAATTATCCAAAGGTACAACCCTCGACTTTCACAATTAATACTGATTTAAAACACTAACTTCTGGGATTATCTCATTCAAGCCATATTTTGCTGTCACTGTCTAATTCTATGCACTTCTTGCCTGTTATTTACCTTTCTGATTGTTAAATTGAAGGGTGAAACATATCATTCATATATGGAAGTGCTACTTGGAGATGGGATTTTTAATGTAGATGGTGAACTTTGGAGGAAACAAAGGAAGGCAGCAAGCTTTGAGTTCGCATCCAAGAATCTGAAAGACTTTAGCACCAGAGTCTTCAGGGAGTATGGCCTGAAGCTATGTAGTATTCTAAGTCAAGCATCATGCCAAAACCAAGAAGTAGACATGCAGGTATACTAGAAAATTTCTTACAAGGGAACAGAAATAACCATATTGAAGTGCTCTCATAGTCATATACTACATAAACTATTGTCATTTTCAAATGATGTGGAAACGTAGTGTAACAATTTGCAATACATACGTTTTCATATGTCTTCTGAATGGCATATCACATCTCTAAAGGGTCTTTGAAAATTGTTGTTTCAGGAGTTGCTGATGAGGATGACTTTAGACTCCATATGCAGAGTGGGATTTGGAGTAGAAATAGGGACTCTGGCCGCCAATCTACCAGAAAATAGCTTTGCTCAAGCTTTTGACACCGCAAACATCATTGTCACTCTTCGCTTCATTGACCCTTTGTGGAAAATAAAAAGATTCCTTAATCTGGGGTCGGAGGCCCTTCTTGACAAGAGTATCAAAATCATTGACGATTTCACCTACTCTGTAATTAAGAGAAGGAAAGCTGAGGTAGAAGAAGCTCGCAAGAATAGAACTAACAAGGTAACCCAAGAGAAATTCCTGAGTAACATTCAAGCTCTTTTCTTATTATTATTTTCATACTGACAGAATACGTTTAGTCATCTGAGTAACTTGTTATTTGGTAAATGTATCAGATAAAGCATGATATATTGACTAGATTTATTGAGTTAAGTGAAGATCCAGACAGCAACTTAACTGACAAAAGTCTTAGAGATGTTGTCCTGAACTTCGTGATTGCTGGCCGAGACACAACAGCAACAACTCTCACATGGGCTATATACATGGTAATGACACATTCCAATGTGGCTGAAAAGCTTTACTTAGAGCTAAAAAAATTTGAAGACGACCAAGCAGAAGAAGAAAAAGTTTCATTGGTTCAGTATGACTCAGAGAACCTTGAATCATTCAATCAAAGAGCAACACAATTTGCAGGGCTCTTGAAATATGATTCTTTGGGAAGGTTGTATTATTTGCATGCAGTAATCACAGAAACACTCCGTTTGTACCCAGCAGTTCCTCAGGTATCTATTGTCTCAAATTCAGTTGATTCACAGCAGAAAAAGTTTAGTTCAATCGAATTTCATATGGCTGTAGGACCCCAAGGGCATCTTGGAAGATGATGTCTTGCCTGATGGGACCAAAGTCAAAGCAGGAGGCATGGTGACTTATGTTCCCTACTCCATGGGAAGAATGGAGTACAACTGGGGTCCTGATGCAGCTTCATTCAAGCCTGAGAGATGGCTCAAAGATGGTATATTCCAAAATGCTTCTCCATTCAAGTTCACTGCATTTCAGGTAAGTTCAAAGACTTGAGTGTTTAGCCATGGTATGGTGATCAATGCCAAGGCGGCTCATGAGTTTTTCTTTTATTTAAATCTGCAGGCTGGCCCGAGGATATGCCTTGGAAAGGACTCTGCATATCTTCAAATGAAGATGGCTTTGGCAATTTTGTGTAGATTTTTCAGATTCAGTTTGATTCCAGATCATCCGGTGCAGTACAGGATGATGACTATTCTCTCAATGGAGCATGGTTTGAAGCTTCAAGTAGAGAGACGTTCTTAAAATCCCAGAGGCCATAATCTATATCTTTCCTTGTTTGTTACTATGCCCAAATGGCGTTATGTTAAGACAGGCTCTTTAATCTGAATGATAATATTTAACTATTACTTCATTGGAGGTCAGCAAAATTTTCAAATCATAACAGAAAAAGAATATTTTTACCGTATACGATAATTAGTTTAAAACGTTTATCAGTAAAAGTGCAGCCTTCAAGCCTTTAACATAGGCTATCTTAAGCATTATTTCGTGCTCTAAAGTTCAATCTCCCAATCCTGATGAATAACAGCACATCTGAATTTTCCAACGAAGGAAATAAGACACCTTGATGTGTACAGAGACGGGAAACCTCACTTGATGCAAACCATTATTTCAGTTAGTTATGAAATAAGTATATGACCATTGACCCCTAAAAACTTATAACCTTCCATTGTGTATCTGTTCAATACGTATATGATATCGTTATCTTGGATTTGGAGGAGAACAATTTTTTTATTTATTACAAAAGAATCAGCATATATCCTATAGTTCATATGCATTCCTTCATCTATTTTGAATAAATAGATCAATATAATTTTAAAAATTAATTAGAAAGGATTAAGAATTGAATCAAAGGTCGAGGCAGAGCGGAAAGAAGAATAAAGGAGAAGAGTTGTTCTGTGTCCTGAGAGATATTTGATTCTTAGGTGTTGGCCCGTATAGCCCTTTCTTCATTTTTCTTTTTTTTAAAACTTATGTATATTTCAAGTTTAGCATTTTAGTCACATGGTGTTCATACACATAAACGTTACAAGCACGGCACAGTTTACTTATGCTTGATCATGTTTGTGAACTAAAAGGAGCAGAGACCTCATTGCAAACCTTGGGAATCAATCTCTGCTTGTTGTCTTGCCATTCATTGATTTCATCTTCAATCTTTGCTTGCACAATTGCACGAAACCCTGGGTATGGTTCATAACCGAAGAATGTTTGAAGAGCCTGAAACAATCAAAACAAGCAGCACAATACTATACTTCACAACTCCAAAAACTTCAAAGAATTACAACAATTAAATTAAAATCGCAACAAATATTACCTCCAGCAGCACAAAGAAGGGAGCCATTAAAAAGGCTTGAGCAAGATTGTCCAGCAATGCTGGTGCTCGTTTCTGCAGGTTATTACGAACCCAAGTATGAGGAGTATGCATATAATACAAAGTCATTATTTATTGCTGACTAAAATTAGCTACCTCGAAGACTCCATGACCAATAAACTGTCCAGTCCAACACAATAGCTGAGCCACAAGAACAACCTGAAAAAGTTTCTTCAGGTCAAACAACCAAGCTGACATGAAACCGCTATATGATCACTTTTTACAAGTAATAAGAACAGAGGGTGAAGCTTAAATCACATGGGACATAGTTAGCTAATGCACTCTATGTTTTGTGTCACACAAACTAAATGTTTAAAGAACACCAAACATCTCCAGGTTGATCTATTCCGAGAGAGACTCGCTGATAAATGCCCTTGTCTCATTTAGAAAATATGCACAATGATAATACAGGCAACCAACATCACAGTTCAGTTAATAACTGAATGAATTATTGTCAAGACTGAGCATTTCGTGGAAACAATGATTATAAAAAAGTCCACAATATGCAAATATTATGCTTAGACTGAAGAATATTTATATATATAAACTATTAAATTATAGTTTATTCTTCTGGAATGCCCCACTTATTTAAACTGGTTAACTCTAGGTGCTCTGAATTCTTCATGTTCATCTCATATATTATCGGTAACCAACATAATTGAACTGCATTGACGCAGTCCTTCCTAACCAAGAAATTCATAATTTATCAGTTGAGTTAAACTCCCTGTGTTGGCACATAATTTTCCCAATTTGTTTCCAAGCCAGAGCTATTAAAATAAATTTAGTCTGACAATACAAGGTCTTTGCAAATTGTCAAACATACAAAATTTTGTTTCCATGCAAAGTAATTTTATTCATTAAAGTAATAGTCATGTTTCATTTTCAAGGTGGTGCAGATGGCCAAATAACTTTCAGTCATCATTTGTTTCTTTAAATTCTAATGTATTTCTCTGAAGCCTGAATTCTGAATATATTACAAGATCAAAAGAAAGGAATTAAAAGTAAGACATCCCTTGATAACCAATTAGATAGCAATGATTGTGGAGGAGGACACCTTGATTGGAAAAAAGAAGGGTTAATTTTCAATGTACAATGCACAGATTATACCATAAACAGAAGAATTCAAATTGGGTTCTAAAAAGATGGAAAGGGAGAAAACAACATACTAACAAGGGGCTAATACTTCCATGATCATCCAATATACTTGAAACCTATCTATTATCTAATACAATTAGGACATATTTAATTCCTTATATTGTAAAAGCATGCCAAATTAAGAATAAAACAGAATGCTAAGTTCCAATGAGAAACAGACGCAAATAAATAATACAATTATAGTGACGATGATACATGAAATGCAACACTGTTTTTCTCCCATTTCTAATACAAAGAATGTGGCCTCATCTCATGGTGACATTTAGGATAAAGAAACATCGATTCCAAGGGAAATTGATCCTATATCATATCAGTGATAGAGAAACCAAAAAACAAAATTAACTAATCTATTACCTTCCAAGCAAGTGAAAATCCGAGCCATCTCGCTACAGAACTGCTGGCTACCCAACAAACCAGACAAAAAAGAGCAGCCAAGGAACCGGCTTTGAAGTCCAAAAAGATATAGAAGAAAGAATATATCAAAGCAAACAAGAACCCCATGTTAAAAACCAGAACAAAATCGGTTCCAAAGAAAGAAAACTCTACGTGAGGGACGTTGAAGAAAGGAGTGAAGTAAAGAATGAGAAGAGCAGCGAAAAAGATTGGCCAAACAAACAACATATGAATAAATATGTTTATTGGATTACGATGGTATGCTCCATAGAAAGCAAAGTGCCTTTCTAAATCAAATAAACCAATCTTTGCCATGCAGAATTTAGAGAAGAGAATTTCGAAACTGTTCCAGGAAGGTAAAGTGGTTTCGAAGACAGGCTGGAAAAGAGTGCTGCTATTTAATTTCTTTGGAGTTGCTTAATATTAAATATTATCTATTAGTAATTTAGTATTACCGGGCGGGACGACTCTGGGGTAACCTTACCCAGTGGACTATGTAGCCGTTGACTCTTAACTGTCTAGTTGGAAAAAAGTTACTCCAATATTACATAAAAACCTGATTTTCTTTTTTAAAATAGTATTTCCAAAAAAGTTGGGTTGAGTTATATTAAATCAAATAGGATTTGAATTTAAAAATATGTTTGGTAAATTATTTAAATATTATATTAGAGTTTAATAAATTGTTGAATATCTGTTTTATATTTTTTGAAAAAGGGAATTTAAAATAGAATATTTTGGTGTATTTTATTATTTGATTCCGAAACTTTTCTATTTACATTTAAATAATATTAAATATTTGTTTGGTAATTTTTCTATCACTAAATTAAAAACAAATTCTCTATAATAATTTTAACTACTGATACACCTTTTAAAAACAAATCATTAATACATATTTAAATTAATAATAGGAAACTACTAATAATTAACCCTTAAAATACTTCGTACACGTATATTCCATTAACAATTAGGACATGGATTGGTAAATTTACAGAAGCCATTTCTAATAGGACTATGAGATTTACGGCAACATATCGCAGTGCTGATGATAGGACCCAAGAGAACGCAAGTGTTGAGACTGATCCATATTCCACGAGAAAATGTCAGGACATTTTGACAACTATGCAACTGGATTTAAAGTTATTCTTGGCGGTTGTGAAGTTCTTAGATGGCAACCCAAAGTGGCGTGAGATATTTGTACACATGACACCTGAGCAAATGGCATTTTAGCTTTATAAAGACTTTGAAAATTCGTAGATGAGAGTATACCTGTCCGTTTGAAACAATTTGTTCATCAATTCATATTTTTTGCAGTACTTAGCAAAATATAACATTCAATTTGTAAATCTACTTACAATCTCCAACATATATGAAACATGTCATTTCACATTGCACAACAACACATTTTTCATCAATTCTTATAATAACAAAGCAAGTGAAATCATTAATATGACGGTAGTTAAAAAAAAAAAAAAAAAAATCAATTGTTAAAGGAATAAGTATCAACTAACAAGTTAAAAACATTGGTTCAACAAGTAAGACAAACACTCTCACCTACGAATTGCCAAAGTCATTATAAAGCCAAAATGCCCTTTGCTTGGGTGTCATGTGTACAAATATCTCACGCTGCTCTAGGTTGGCAAGTAAGAACTCCACAACCGCCAAGAATAACTTTAAATCTAGTTGCATAATTTTCAAAATGGTCCTGACATTTTCCCATGGAATATGGATCAATTCCAACATTTGCGTTCTCTTGGGTCCCATCATCAGCATTGCGATATGCTACCACAGATCCCATAGTCCTATTAGAAATAACTTCAGTCAATTTACCAATCACACCCAGTAGTGGGTTTCCCCGAAGGCATTTCTTCTTCCTATCTATGGATCTTCCACATCCAAACATGTTTGATCATTTTTCTCCAGTTATTCTATTCGGATCAGGTTTGAACTCAGCTTCATCAATGTCCACCTCTACAAGATAGGGAAAAAACATGTTAGATTTTGCTGGTTGAGATGGAGATGTGTAAGTGAATCTTCCAGTTGCATTTTGCTTCTCAAATATAACTTCATATAACTCTTTATCAACAAGTCCTTTATGTACAAAATCCTTCGCCCCTGGGTTTTGCTATTAATGAAAATAGATATACATTAAATTTCATATTCACAAACATTTTTTTAAAAAAAATATGCAGTTTACCTTTAAATATTCTTGCCAAATCTCTTTAGAACATGTTGGAGTTTGAGTTTGATAATCCTAACTGAACCCCGTATGTTGAAGTAGAGCATGCCATGAGTGATATGTCATTCTCAACCAAAAATACTTAGAAAATAATTGTTTGACTTCAACTTTCTTCCCACAATTACTACATAACTTATCACTAATAATCTTGTAATCAGAAGATTTAATTGAAGTACCATGGGATGTTTTCGCACGCTCAGCCAACATAACTAAAAACTCATGGGTGAGTTCAGGATCCCATTGAATGACCTCACTCATCTAATAATAGTAGGGTGAGAACAACAACCAAGATTGAAACATCGTAACAATCAGCACACATATCAACACGAACATATGCAAATTAAAACCTTATAAACTAAACAGAGAGAAATTATTACCTCATTTGACCCAACACTACTTGAAGTGGTAAGTACAGAGGATACTATGGGCAAAGTAGACCAACGGGGTCTTCGGTGTACTCTAAGTGCAGCAAATCATCGAAACTTTTCTTTTGCGAAAAGTAGTAATCAGTCATGTGACGGTGGGCTGAATTACACCTCCATTTGTTCATAGCATTGTAATTAGTTATTAAGATCAAATTACAATGCTCAATTTGCAAAATGAATAATACATAAGTTAGACAAATCCCAAAAAAACAAAATTCAATAGCTTATTACAACAAATGAATAAGCCCCTGCACCTATCACCTATAACCCCACAACTTGTTGCCCACACAAATGAACCACCACTAGGACAAATTCCAAACACAACCACCAGACCAAAAATATGAAACAAACCAAAGCCTGATCATCTTTCTCACATTAACAAAAACCCACAAAACTCTATCATAAATATGCAAAATGAAACAGTACAAGTACAATAAGCTCTATATTACCATAAAATAAGCAAGCCACAAGCCTAGAAGTCCAAAATTATAACTTAAAACCTGATAAAAAACAACACAAAACAATAAAACAAACCAAACCCAAATCATATTTCTCTACATTAGCAAAAATCCACATACATTTCTCCCTTTCCAAGTTTGATTTCAACGCTTAGGCTTAGAATTAGCCACAAAGAAATGGTTTTTACTAAGTAAGAGTTGAATGAGCAAGTAAAGCAAGAGGTAAAGAGAAGAATACTTGAAACTTGTAGCTTTTGAGTTTGTTTTTCAGAGATTATTAAAAATAAAAGATAAATAAATGCAAAAAAAAAAAAAAAAAAGGCAGTCTTTGGTTTTAAATGAGCTATAATGAACGATGAGATTGAGGGTTTTCGACTGAGCTTAATTAGTGCACAAACAACGACCAAAACCAAGGTAGCAGCCAACACCCAGCACCAACCAAAACACACAACAACAGCCCCAATACCTACAACCAAAACACACAGCAGCAAACAAAACACACAACAACAGCCCCAATACCTACAACCAAAACACACAGCAGCAAACAAAACACACAACAACAACCCTTAATACCCACAACCAATAGCACCCAAAACCAATGCAGTAGCCAGTATCAAACCCCCAGCCCAAAAAAAAAAAAAAAAAAAATAGCTAGCAAGACTTCATATATAAACAAAAACACAAAAAGCAGAGAGCGGATGTGCTTATGAATTTGAGCCAAAAGTGAGTAGATCAGAGAGAGATCTGAGCCAAAAGAGAGAAGATCGGCTGGATCTAAGCTGAAAATGGGCAAGGTAAGCTGTGTTGACGAAGAACCTTCTTACTGGTGAGACTGTTCCACTACAAGTTGATGGAGAGAGAGAACGAAAGAGAGAAAGAAAGTTTGGCTCGGTGGTGAATGAGTGAAGAAGAAGGAAGAAGAAAATCAGAGAGAGAATGAAATAAATAATGAGAGAGACAACGGTAAAATATTCAACAAGATATGATTTTGAATAGAATTTTAGTTATTTTGTTTGAATATTAAAACAAACGCCCCATGTAACTATTTAAACCCAATAAGATATTAGAATAGGCTTTTAAAAAGTAAAACAAACGGGCCCTTAAATTTTAACAAGGAGGATATTATTGTAAAGCCCCCAAGGTATACCTTAAGTAAATAAACACTTTAAGGTTTCGATAATAGCTCTTGACCCCCTATTGTTTGTCAACCGTTAGTATTTTATGGTTGGTTTTAACAGTCGAAGGGAAAATAAGTAAATGAATAAAAAATTTTATAATTAAAAAGATTTTTAATCTTGACCACACCACTTAAAGTTGTTATCAAGCTGAGGCGAGCCAAGCTTTGGGGAGCTCTTGGCTTGCCTCAGCTTGACTCAGCATGAAAAAGAAGAGCTCGAGCTTGACCGAGCTCCAGATGTGGATCTCAAGCTCGAGCTTGATAGAAAAAATGGGATTCCAACTCGAGCTCGAATAAAAATGGATCAAAACAAGTTTACCAACACCTATTATGAAGTGCCTAAGTGAGATTTCTTAGCATGCATATCAAATTGAGTCCTTAGCTGGCACTTACCTACGTATAGCCAAAATGGCCTATCACCAACTTTAACAATTCACTTTGAACAAAGCAGTACTGAGCATCTCTCCCACAAGACTCTCAATTTCATTTTTCTGATAGTATGGGTAACGGTAAGGCCTTATATGTGGGGATAATGCGTCTGGTTTTAAACGAATGGCATGGTCTTGTGTACGGATAGGGGGTAAACCCGTGTGGAGTAAATACAACAACAAATTCATGTAATAAAATATGTAGTCGAGAATCCATACTTTCAACAGCCATGCTTTGCATTTGAATCTGGCTGAACTCAATCAAACAACCTTGTCCTTCACTTTGGATAGTCTTGATCATTGCTTTTTAACGAAACCAATATTTTGTACACCAACCAGTGTAACCTTTTCATTCCCCATTCAAAATTTCATGACATGCGTTTTCTAGTCTATTGTCATTTCCCCTAAAGTCTCAAGCCACATAATACCCAATATAACATCCGCATTGCCCATGTCAAATGAGAAAAAATTCTAGACAATTGAAACCCCTTGAATCAAACAAACTCCTTGGCACTCACCCTTACTTTGAACCTTGTAACCATCACCCACCCTAACTCCAAAAGGTTTTGTCTGTGTTACCAGAAGAGCAAA